CTCTACATTGGGATTGAACTGTGTGCGACATTCGGAGATCAGACTTGGGTTGGACTTGGGTACCTCTATGTCCCTCCCCCCCTTCTCTCTCGCATGTCTATGGATCTCTCCCCATGTGTGTGAGCGAAAGGGCAATCTTCCTGGTGTCTTGCCCTTCCGAAGTTTATCCCTTTTCATGTTGTTGATTGTCCACGTGTCCTCTTGCTACTAAATCTTCCGCTGCGCTGCTTCCCAGCTCATGATGATGATGATGATACGAATGTGCTGTTGTTGTTTCTCGTTGGTTCACTCTTGCATCGTGCACATTGGCACCTTGTGAATGTTGCATCTATGCTGCTGGTTGTTGCCACTTTCGTCATTGCTAGATCCTAGGCTCTCAGTGCATTTCACTTTCTGATATGCTACAAGTGGTATCGGAGCTAGTGCGATGAATCTTGGTTGGATTGGCTGTTTGCCACCAATCAATCTTCGATTGATTGATCAGTCAATCAGGAGGTTGATCGAACAATCGATCAATCAACCAGCAATCATCCGAGATTGATTGATTGATTGATTGATTGATTGATTGATTGATTGATTGATTGATTGATTGATTGATTAATTAGTTGATTGATTATTTGGCAATTTTTTTTATCTTGAAAATTTCCCGGAATTAATTATTATTATTTTTTTTTCCCGAGAAATTATTTCTTTTTCCGAGAATTTTTTTTTTCCGAGAAATTATTTCTTTTTCCGAGATTTTTTTTTCGAGAAATTATTATTCTTTTCCGAAAAATTATTTTTCCGAGGAATTTGGTTTCCAAGAAATTCTTTTTCCGAGAATTTTTTTTCGAGAAATTATTATTCTTTTCCAAAAAAAATTTTTTCCGAGGAATTTGGTTTCCGAGAAATTCTTTTTTTCGTTCGAAGAATTCTTTTTCCGAGAATTCTTTTTACCTTATCGTTAAATGTCTGCATTCTGACAAATTCGATTCTTTTTCCGAAAATGTCCCTCTACACTTTCACTGCGTAGGTTTGCAAATTCCGTTCTTTTTTTCAAAAAAAAAAAAAAAAAAGGGCATTTTTTTCTTTCTGCAACCTACTACTACTCTAAGTTGTAAAGATACTTATTTTCTGATTCTCTGCAGTTGAGCACCGAAGGTTCACATTTGCTTTCTGCATCACCTTCGGTACTCAGTGGGATTGGACAGTCTTTTTCGAATTTTGATTTATTTAAATTATTTCTTAATAATAAAAAATATTCTTTTTTTTCTTCTTTTTGATTAGGGAACTGTTCAATTTGGGATTTGTCCGATCCTTCCCACCTGTCTGCTGCTTACCTGTTCTTTCCCCTCCAGTCCGAATACTGGGCCAGTCTATCTGATTGGCCCATAGCTGACTCTTCAGTGCAGTGTATGCCACGACTCACTCGATCACAGACCAAGACCATGGACCGGAAGGAGGGAGAATCCCTCCTGGCCTATGAGGAACACCTGGCTGCTTTCATCCAGGAGGCCAACAACAGGGCTGCCGCCGCGGCCAAGGAACGTGGTCGGATTGAGCAAGAAGAAGAGGCCAAGCGACAGAAGGAAGAACAGGACCGACTTCGTCAAGAGGAGGCAGACCTGCAGGCGATAGCCGAACACTGGTCACGCCAGCGGGAACGACTGTTCACGCGGGAGACCGTGATCGGCGATGAGGCCGCACATTGGGTGCAAGTGGCATCTACAGACGAGGCCCCGGAGACTGAGAAAGGGTTGTCAGCCCTTGCGCAGGTCTCCCACGACCTCGTGGCCACCTGCGTTCTGCAGCAGGAGGAAATCCTTCACCTGCAGCAGACAGTGGACCAGATGCTCGCACGGCTGCAGGCGTTGGAAAAACAGCCAGCTGTTGTAGCAGCCGCAGGGCCTTCAAACCTTGCCACCCGTGTTCAAGTTTTGAAGGACGACGTCAGCAATATCAAGCGTGTGCATCAGGACTTCAGGACATCGCAGCAAGCAACGAACGTGCAGTTAGAGACGCAGGTCCAGGCTGCTGCCACCGTGACGCCCGCCGCCGCATCCTCCAGGTGCCCACCCAAGCTAGATGGCATTCCAGTTTTCTGCGATCAGTCCAAGACGGAACCGATCTCGTGGTGGCGCCAGTTTACTCTCAGGCTCGACATGCACCATGTCCCGAACAACGATCGACATCCGTGCTTGTACCACCAATCTGGTGGTGCATGTCAAGCATGGCTGGACAACATCTTGACCAGCCACGGCGTAGCAGTGTCGAAACTGCACACCAAGCTCACTTGGCAGGAGTTGACTGACGCCTGGCACAAGCGATTCCAAGTGGAGCCGCCCGACCTGCAAGCGATGGACAAGCTCAACAAGCTCCATCAGAACACGCTGCTCAGTCAGGACTGGATTACCGAGTTCCAAAGACTCGCCTCCATACCTGACCCGCCGCTCACATTTCGCGCCATCAAGCACTCGTTTATCATGCGCTCGTGTCCAGCTCTGCAAAACGTGCTGACGCAAATTGCAGAGACACTCGACACATCTGACAAGCTTTTCAGCACAGCGTCACGGATCATTCTCACGAATATCGAAGCGCGCAACGCCGGCCGATCTTTCATGACGACGAGCGGCACCCAGCCCAAGCCAAAGGTGGCTTGCATTACTTCTACCGAGGCTGCAACACCAAAC